CCCCGCCCATCTGGCTGGGCTTCCCCAGCCACGCTGGGCGGCTTCCCACAAAATAACCGTATTTTTCGCCCCTATAGGACGCACTTTCCCCCCCCCAAAAAATGAAGGGGAAATCTGGGTGCGTCCTATGGGGCGAATGCAGGCTTTTGCTGAAGCTTGGAGAGCGAGAGGGGTCGGTGCGCACCGACCCCTCTCACTCTCCAGGCTTCAGGAACACATCCGCAGCCTAGGCAGCCCTACGGGAGGTCCGGCAGGGATGTCTAGGCTGCGAATAGGCAGCCTGCCGCCCGGCGGGCGGGGCGCCCTGAAGCAGAGCGCCCCCCGCGCAGGCAGACATCCGCAGCGTGGGGAGCCTTGCCGGAGTTCCCGGCAAGGCTCCCACGCTGCAGATAGCAGCCTGCTGCCCCGGCGCGAGGGGCGGCCTGAAGCAGAGCGCCCCCCTCGCCAGGCAGACATCCGCAGCGTGGAGAGCCTTGCAGGAGTTCCCGGCAAGGCTCCCCACGCTGCGGATAGCAGCCTGCCTGCCCGGCGCGAGGGGCGCCCTGAAGCAGAGCACCCCCCGCACCAGGCAGACATCCGCAGCGTGGGGAGCCTTGCAGGAGTTCCCGGCAAGGCTCCCCACGCCGCGGATAGCAGCCTGCCGGCCCCGCATGGGGGGGGGGCGCTCTGATGCAGAGCGCCCCTCGCGCGGGGCAGACATCGGCCAGCCCCACAAGCTCGGGGGACAGCAGGGAGGCGCAGCGCTGCCATCCCACTGTTCCTCGACCTGGTTCTGTTTCCCCGACCTGCTTTTGGGGGGAAATAAAGGGAATTTTTTTCCCCTTTATTTCCCCCCCAAAAAACTAGGTGCGTCCTATGGGACGGAGCGTCCTATGGGGCGAAAAATACGGTATTAAAATACAGTAATCCATCAAACATTAAAAGCTTCCCTAAACAGGGCTGCCTTCAGATGTCTTCTAAAAGTCTGGTAGTTATTTTCTCTTTGACATCTGGTGGGAGGGTGTTCCACAGGGCGGGTGCCAATACCGAGAAGGCCCTCTGCCCAGTTCCCTGTAACCTCACTTCTCGCAATGAGGAAACCACCAGAAGGCCCTTGGTGCTGGACCTCAGTGTCCGGCTAGAACAATGGGGGTGGAGATGCTCCTTAAGATATACTGGACTCATGAACTATAAAATGAACTATAAAATGGTGATTTCCTTGAGTCAAAATGAAAGTACCCCCTAAACATTTTTTAAAGGGAAAAAAACACCGTTTCTGAGAAACACAAAACAAGACCACAACCTGGCAGGGTAACAACTCTTCCCCAGATCATCCTTGCACCTACCTGCCAGTCGCTCCGGGTCAAATTGCTCTCCCTCTCCTTCCAACCAGCTGATGAGAAGAGGTTGAAGAATCAGAGGCCCATCTTGAATGGAAGAAGAAGAAAATATTTTTTTCCTTCTAGGAGTCCAGAATTTCAGACTAGACTGGTTCTGTTACCGGCCTCCTAAGACAGAGGTAGTGCCATCACTGGATACAGGGAAATGATGGGAAGCACCAGTTGGGGAACCCCCTAAGGGAAGAAGGCTCAGAGCCCAGGGATTGGTGGTGGGACAACGATGGGTCATCAGAGGGAGAAGACTGGGAGGAGGAGGTTCCGTTAGCTGGAGAGGTGACAGGGCTTAGTGAGCACGAGGAGGCTGTGGCAGAGAGCAGCCCAGAAGCAGAAGATGGAGCAGGAACGGAGGGAATTATAGGGACAACACTACCCAAATTGTATAGAAATTTATTTATGTATGCTACTACAGCAGCAAGAATGTTACTTGCCCAAAAGTGGAAAGAAGTGAAAGTCCCAGGAAAGGAAGAATGGATACAAAAACTCAGGGAATATGCAGAAATGGCAAAATTTACCGGAAGAATAAGAAATCAAGATAACAAACTTTTTATAAAAGAATGGAACTGGTTTACCGAATGGTTTACTGAATATTTACAAATAAATTGTAAACAGATAAAAACATTAGAGGGATTAATGTAGTAACGAATAAATCCAATTCTCTTTGACTTCTCTCCCCTCCTTTCTGCAGTTAGTTATTTTATATCTTTTTATTACTGCATATCCAATTCGAATCTATTTTCTAATTTCCCCTTATGTTCTCCCTAATTATCTCTTACTGCATCAATTTGAACTGCAAGAAGATCAAACCTATCCATTCTTAAGGAAATTAGCCCTGAGTGCTCACTGGAAGGACAGATCCTGAAGCTGAGGCTCCAGTACTTTGGCCACCTCATGAGAAGAGAAGACTCCCTGGAAAAGACCCTGATGTTGGGAAAGATGGAGGGCACAAGGAGAAGGGACGACAGAGGACGAGATGGTGGGACAGTGTTCTCGAAGCTACCAGCATGAGTTTGACCAAACTGCGGGAGGCAGTGGAAGACAGAAGTGCCTGGCGTGCTCTGGTCCAGGGGTCACGAAGAGTCGGACATGACTAAACGACTAAACAACAACGTTTTGATTTCTTTACAATGTCTCTTCAAACAGTCAACACATTTTCTATTTTAAAAAGTCTTTCTTCTTGATTTCTTATTCTTCTGGTAAGTTTCGCCATTTCTGCATAGTTTTAATTGCCAATCGTCCTTTATCGGAACTGTTTCTTCTTTCAATTTTCAGGCATAAATCCTTTGGTAAGGAAGGGGTCACTGGATGCAGCCTGGCTGATTCCCTCCTGTGCAGAGAATGAGTGTTAAGGGGTCTGAAAGAGTATTCCCCTTTCCTTCTAGGGCTCAAATATATGAATATGATTAAATGGGAAGAAAACCTGTTTAAACTGTGGAATGTATTCCGGCATTTGTTACTGCAATGTGTTTGATGGGGGAAGTCTTCTCTCTGGTCAGGTGCAAGTCCGTTTAACTGTCACTGTGGGAACTTTGACGGACAGCTGAGGAGCGGCTGGTGATGTGTATTCTGATTGGCGGTTGCTGGTTTAGAATTCTCAGTGAGACGCTGTGATTGGCTGGGGCTGGACCAGAGGACTTTAAACGGAGGAGGAGTTGGAGATAGAACCTTCAGTACGCAAAAGAAGGATAGAAGGAGTGCGTAGTCTGATTGGAGGATGCAGGTTTAGAATTCTTAGTGAAACGCTGTGATTGGCTAGGGTTGGCCCAAAGAACTGTATATATAGCCAGAACTGTATATTCAGCAGAGTTAGTTGGAGCTGTTGGTGCTCCTGGAGTCAGACAGAAGAAGGCAGAGGAAGAGGATAGGGAAAGAAGATCCAGAAGGAAGGGCAGAGGGGCTTGGTGGCCAAAGGCTTCTTGGGCTAGCCATATAACTTGGCTCAGCCTAAGGAGTCTACAGCACTGAAGGAGAAGAAAGGAGAGGCGGTTTGCAATGCTGGACTCTGGTGCCTGGTAGGGGAGCCAGAGGAAGATTCCAGAACAGCAAAATCAGGCCTGGGGTTTCATTTGTGGGAATTAAAATCTAGTCCCCATTTACAGAGTTATGCCAAAGAGAGCCCTTTAATTTGACCCTTTAATTAGTTCCCTTTTCTCTCCTATAAAAACTAATCAAGACCACCTCTGTTGAGAGTTTAAATAACAAATAACTTTTACTCAGTGCCTGTTTTCCAGGGACAGTCCTAGATTTACAGAAGCCGTCCTGGTTTCTGATTTGATCCCAGCATGCCCTGCTTTTCGTTAGGACATCCCTATTTTCACTGGAGAAATTTTGGAGGGTATGGAGTTGTCTGACTCTCGAACCATCTGAAAGTAGTCCTGTATAGGAAAGTTCTTTTAAAGTTTAATATTTTGGTTTTTTATATATGTTGGAAGCCAACTAGAGTGGCTGGGACAACCCAGTCAGGTGGGTGGGGTTTAAACAGTAAAATAATAATAATAATAATAATAATAATAATAATAATAATAATGGAATAAAGGGTAAAGGGACCCCTGACCATTAAGCCCAGTCGCAGACGACTCTGGGGTTGCGGTGCTCATCTCGCTTTACTGGCTGAGGAGCCGGCTTACAGCTTCTGGGTCATGTGGCCAGCATGACTAAGCCACTTCTGGCGAACCAGAGCAGCGCACGGAAATGCTGTTTACCTTCTCACTGGAGTGGTACCTATTTATCTACTTGCACTTTGACGTGCTTTCGAACTGCTAGGTTGGCAGGAGCAGGGACCAAGCAATGGGAGCTCACCCCGTCGCGGGGATTCGAACCGCCAACTTTCTGATCGGCAAGCCCTAGGCTCTGTGGTTTCACCCATAGCACCACCCACGTCCCTTATTATGGAACAGGACATATCTATTTTCATTGTAAGATATGTCAGTGTGCCTTGATATACAATGCAGGTAGGTGTTATGTATGCTGATAATGTAGTCAAACCTCAGTTTTCGATTGTCTCTGCTGCTGAACGTTTTGGCTCCTGAATGCCAAAAACCCGGAAGTGTCCCAGTTTTCGAACATTTTTCAGAAGCTGAATGTCCAACGTGGCCGACAAGCGGCTTCCAATTGGCTTTTCCGATTGCAAGATTACGTTTGACTTCCGAGGTACCACTGTACATCTTACATAGATTTGTATTTAAGATAAATACTGTTATAGGCTGAGGCTGGATGTTGACACTTCAAAAAAGCTTTCAGTTAAATGCATTGTAAACTTTGTATGAGAAACCGGGTGATATTTTGGACATGTATTGGGAAGGGACGAAAACCGGGGATGGGAGGGAGGGAAGAATAGAATTCTAAAAACACTCAAGACTTTTGGGTTTGGTTAATATGACTTTTATTTAAGACAAATTGGGAAATCAATGGAAGAGAATTTGAGTCCAACTTAGGAAAATTTATTTTATTTGTATTTATAAATTTTAAGATGATTAAGAAGAGAAATACCAATTTGCTGACACAATTTTGGGAAGTGGGATGCATGAAGGGGGTGGGGGGAAGTCTGGGAACAAGGTTAAGAAAGTGGGATTTTCTGAAACTATACATGTTTTTGTCTTTGTCTTTTTTGTGTGTATTTGTCTTTATAAAAGGTGAAAAGCCAATAAAAATTTCTATTAAAAAAAAAAGAGAAACCGGGTAGGCAAAAACGGGACTCCACAGCGCCATCTGGTGTCACAGTGTTATAATGCACATACAACACATATAAAGCACTTTTTCTTTACCAATCTAGCTGAGTCCTGACTAACCCAGAGGCAGACAGCAACACAACAGAACAGACCTGCTGCTCTAAACTGTTAAGACTGTTCATAACTGAACCGACTTACATCACTGCCTCAGGCATATGACATCACAGAGTTTTACAGCCTTTGTGAGCATTAACCCTTTATTTAGCATTTTGTGTGCTTTCATGCAACATCGTAGAGGTTCGGTAGTAGCTGAAAGAGAGGCTTCAACGCAAGCCATCAATTTATAGTACTGGGGAGCTGGGCTTCCCCCCGCCCCAGCCGGAAATCACTGGAACTCGAACTACCTAAATTGTATAGAAATCTATTTATGTATGCTACTACAGCAGCAAGAATGTTGCTTGCCCAAAAGCGGAAAGAAGCAGAAGTCCCAGTAAAGGAAGAATGGATACGAAAACTCAGGGAATATGCAGACATGGTGAAACTTACCAGAAGAATAAGAAATCAAGATAACAAACTTGTTATAAAAGAATGGAAAAGGTTTGTTGAATATTTATAGATAAATTGTAAACAGATAAAAACACTGGCGGGATTATTGTAATAACCTGCAGTTTTATAAGAGTATATATTTACAGTGGATAAATAAATGAGCAAGTTAAATGAATTTGGATATGCAGAGGATAGAAAAAATGAATTTAAGGAACCGCAGGAAGAGGGGAAGGAAGTCAAATTTTGAAATGTTAAATTGATTGTAAAACTAATGAAATGTATAAATTTGAAAATATATGTAAAAAAACTAAATTAAAAAAAGGAAAGGAGGGAGACCGAGAGAAAGAGATGGGTCGGGCTGGTGAAGAAGGCAGAGTGTCTCCCACTTCTGCCTTTATAAGCTCCCCTCCCCACTGGACTCCCATGACAAGAAGAGGTATGAAGAGAGAGGAGCAGAGACGGGCGCATCAGCGTAGTCTCATATTGCTTGGAAGAACCTGGGGCAAAAGGAGATTCAGGCAGCTGTGGGAAGGCGGGAACATTCAGCCTCCTCAACTGCCTCATAGGGGCAAGACCTGAAAAGAGTTGCTCTGCTCACTAGGCCTGCACAAACCTTCTTTCTTCTAATAAAGAGCTAACTTCTATGTTGTCATGGGCCAGGAGTCGGCTTCACCTGTTGAGCAGCAGCCTGAAGGCGAAGTGACTCCACCTGCTGCTCATCAGCCTTCTTGCTCCTGGTGCGAACCGGCTAGCTCCAAATTTCTTAAGCAGGGATTCCAGCCTCATGTCAGTTGCTGGAAACCACATACATTGTTCTTGGCCAGACCTTGCTGCTTCTTGCGACCTTGGACCCTCGCTTTCTTGACCCCCAGATCGTCTGACTACGTGAACTGAGATACTCCTGACCTTAGGACTGGACTGGACCTAAGGACTCTGCCTCCAGGCAAGTACCACCCCGAGACTCGGCTGCTAGGCTGGCCTCTCCCTCCACTGAGCTCTGCTGTGGCTGGCAGCACAGGACTACGACCCGTGTGATTTATTGCTGGCTCGCTCCTGACACTGTCCCACTAACCTCTGCCTGCCTTCAGCCAGCCCTTTAACCTGCCTTCTTAATGGCAACCAGCCCAGGGGTAGGCATTGCCTGCCAGCCTCCTCCTGCTGCTTTGGAAAACTTTGCAGGGAGAAGCTTTGGGGGCAAAAGCATAACGCACTTCCGGGTTGGCGCCATCGCCGAATGGCGGACTCCCTCCGAGCTCCGGAGGGAGCCTGCTCGGCAGGGGCTGGGTCCTACCGCGCCGGCGACGCGGGGACCCTCAAAAACCATGGGCACGGAGACCATGGACATGGTTGACTCGGCGGGCACCGTTAGCGCCCTCCCGACTCGTGAAGGAGCCTTTTTAAAGGCTACGGAACAGGTGCCGGGAGCGGCGTGGTACTGTGAGTCCTCTGCTTTCCCTGCCGAGCGAAGCCGCATGCCATTCGACGGAGAGCGCTGACTTCTTCTATTGAAAATTCAGACTATAAACAACAACCCGTGAGTAATTTGGAAATCGGACTTAAAAGGAGAAAAAAAAGAATTTTTTTTCGGATTCGGCACGAGCGGGGGAGATCCAAAAAGGAAGTCAGTCCCCCCCTATTGTAAACATTCTAAAACAAGGATTTGGCAACCAAGGTCGAGAAAGGAGCTTGCTTCTGTTTATTGATAAAAATTATTAATTCCACGATGGGAAATTATAAGAACTGTGCTGGAGGAGAAGAGTGGAGGGTGAGAATGAAAGTGCAACCCCCCGGGAACCGGGGTGACCCGTGAGAGAGCCTGGTGAAGAGAGACGGAGACTTTGACAGCTGTCAAAGTAGCTGTCAATGTTGGAGAATATAAAGAGGACTTTGCTATGAGGACTTTGCTGGTTAGTTTTGCTACAATTTGGATATAAACTGTCGAAAATAAGGAATAACAATTTGACTTTTGGATTAGAGGAAACAAAGTTACTACAATCCCCCCTAGAGGGGTTTCGGGACATTACAAGAACGGTCGTAAGTGGAAAAATACTCTTGGAATCGTACAGGACTTGTTATCTTCTGGGAAAGCTGCAAAACTGAAACAGTATTTCGTCTACAGAGGTGTTTATATTAAAGAAGACAATAGAATTATCTATTGAAGAAAGGAAGGGACTGGATGTAAGTTTCTGTTCCTGAACGAACAACAACTTCTGTAGAGGCACCAAATTTCTGAATTAGAATGTTTTTGCAGCGGAACAGGAAAAGAAACCTGAGAAAGTGAGAAAAAAGAACAAAGGACTGATGACGACTTGGAAAGAACAAGGGAGGAGCCATAAAGATCAAGGAAACTAAAGGCCCTTTGGGGGCCTCTTTAAGACTGGATGTTTGAAGTTAAACATTATTTAAAAAAGGAAAGGGAAAAAAAAGAAACCGGCAAGGTGGAACTGGGAAAAAACTGGCCATGGATCTGAGACCTCCAGGCTGACAATAGACAGACTGATGGATATGGGAACCCAAACCGGGGAAGGGGGGGAGATTTGGAATCCAAAGGCTGTGCAACTATTTCTTGAATCTTTTTATATTTTTTATATTTTTTAATATCTTTTTATATCTTTTATTTTGATTGGACGTGTTTATTAAAAAAGGGAATTCGTGGAAGGAAATTGGGGTGGACCTTGGGGGAAAATTTTTTTTCTGTTAATGATGAGGGATGTGGAATGATTGTATAATTAAATTGAACAGTGGGTTAAACAAATTAAGTTTTAAATTGGGAGTAAGAGCTTGTAGAACTAAACTAATGAAAGGGGAATACAATTGGGAGGGGGGTGGGGGAAGTCCCAGAAAGAGGGTAATGAAAGTAAGGCTTTAAATGTATTTTTTTCTTTTCTTTTTTGTATTTTTTATTTTTTGTGTTTTGGAAACTTTAATAAATATGATTAAAAAAAAAAAAAGCATAACGAGCCGGCTCTGGCGCCACCTACTGTCAGGCCTCCCTGCCTTCTGGCCTATCAGTCGCAAGGGCTGCCAGCCAATCACGGCTGCCCTCTCATACAGAGCTGGCAAAGAGCCCCCGTCTGGAATAAGAGGAATGAGCTTAGCACAAATGCGGTCGGGTGAAGCAGATAAACCGAGAAAGCAACAGGAGTTCTCCGTGTCTAATAATAATAACAATAATTTTTTATTTATACCCCGCCCTCCCTGGCCAGAGCCGGGCTCAGGGCGGCTAACACCAGTAAAATTACAATAAAAGATAATGGGGGGGAAACAATTTAAAATACAGGTTAAAAATACGATTTAAAGTGCAGCCTCATTTTAATAATAGCCCATAGATCAAAACCGTAAGGGACTCAGACTAGTCCAACCCCCTGCAATGCGGGGATAATAATAATAATAATAATAATAATAATAATAAATTATTTTGATTTATACCCCGCCCTCCCTGGCTAGAGCCGGGCTCAAGGCAGCTAAACACCAATAAAGTCATAGTAAAACATAAAAGGGGGGAAAGAGAAGAGGGGGAAAACACAATTTAAAATACAGGTTAAAATGCAATTTAAAATGCAGCCTCATTTTAAAGTAGCTGATAAATCAGGACCATAAGGGCGAGGGCAACATAAAGGGTCAGACTGAGTCCAAACCAAAGGGCCAGGTGGACAACAGCTCTGTCTTGCAGGTCCTGCGGAAAGATGTCAAGTCCCGCCAGGGCCCTAGTCTCGTGACAGAGCGTTCCACCAAGTCGGGGCCAGTGCTGAAAAGGCCCTGGCCCTAGTTGAACCAATCTAACCACCTTGTGACTTGGGACCTCCAAAAGGTTGTCATTGTGGACCTTAAGGTCCTCCCACAGGGCATACCAGGAGAGGCGTGGCGTAGGTACGTGGGTCCTAGGCCACAAGAAAGGCAACAGGGAGGGGGGTGCTTACCCAAAGAGGCCACCTCCCCATAATTCTCCAGCATGACTTCTCTGTACAGAGCCCTCTGGGCTGGATCCAGCAGCGTCCACTCGTCCTTGGAGAAATGTACAGCCACCTCCTCAAAGGTCGCAGGAGCCTAAAGTGGAAAAGAAGACATGTCTCATCTCACACACACACAAAAACAGGCAGTCGGACAGGTGAGCAGACATGACCTGGCCAAAGGCCCGTCTAGTCCAGCACCCTGTTCTCTCGTGGCCAACCAGGTGTGTGTAGGAAGCAGAACCTGAATTCAGATTCACTTGGGATTCCCGGGAACTGGGATTCAGGAGCAGAGGGAAAGCGCTGTTGCACTCAGGTCCCGATTCTGGGCTTTCATTCGAGACATCTGGTTGGCCACTGTAGGAGCGATATATAGAGGGGCCTGATCTAACAAGTCTCTTATGTTATTCATGGAATCATAGAATCTTTGGACTGGAAGGGACCCCAAGGGCCATTTAGTCCAACCCCCTGCAATGCAGGAATCTCAGCTAAAGTATTCCAAGACAGGTAGCCATCCAATCTCTGCTTAAAAACCTCCAAGGAAGGAGAGTCGGAAGAGAGGGGAAGCAATGCAGGCAACTCAAAAGAGACTACAGTGGTACCTCGGTTCCCAAACGCCTTGGTACTCAAACAACTTGGAACCTGAACACTGCAAACTCGGAAGGAAGTGTTTCGGTTTGCGAAACTTTTTTCGGAGGCCGAAGATGCTCCGTTTAAAGTGTAACGCTTCTTGATTTGAGTGCCACACTTCCGTTTTGAGTTTTATGCTTCCGTTTTGAGTGTTAGGCTGAGGTCTGCCCGGTTTTTGGGGCTCTTTTTTGTTTGTTTTTCATGACTGTGTGGAACCCAGTTCAACTACTGATTGATTGTGTGACTGCAGTACATTGTTTATTGCTTTCATTTTAATGGATCAATGGCCTCGTTAGATAGTAAAATTCATGTTAAATTGCTGTTTTAGGGGTTGTTTTTAAAAGTCTAGGAACGGATCAATCCATTTTGCATTACTTTCTATGGGAAAGCGCGCCTTGGTTTTGGAACGCTTTGGTTTTGGAACGGACTTCCGGAATGGATTAAGTTTGAAAACCAAGGTACCACTGTATACACTGTGCGATTAAGCTGCAACTTTTTCAAATAAGCGTTCTGTTTTTCTGCCCTTGTTTGAACTGATCCTGCTAACTAGTCCTAGGTATGATTTCATCCCAGCTTCTTTCGCTCTACTCCTGGGGAGGCCTTGCCTGGCTTATCCACGTAGAAGCAGAAACCATTTATTGCGCAAAAGGAGTTGATGGGAGACCTATCCATCACTGTGTCTGAAATGCAATCATTTTTAATTGTTTAATAAGAAATTCTCCAGAAATCATTTCTGTTGTTGGATGTTTTTACTGTGAAATCGCATCATTCCTTTAGACTGTTTGCATAGCACTTTATCAGTCGTCCGATGCAACAAGACTAAAACATGAATTAAAACTATACAATCAGGAGTTCAATTTTTTTAAAAAAACCTGCTGGAATAAAAAAGTATTCAGTTAAGTGCCAAAACCTTAACAGGGAAGGAGTTCAACTCTGTCCTCAACTGCAAGGAATTTCCACAAGATTGGGTCCCTAATTCTGGTGGATCTGAGCCACACAACCAAGTCAGGGGCAGCGCCTCAGTGACTCCCCTGAAGACTTCAGTGGTCAAGCAGAGATACAAGGGATAAAACAGTCTTTGAGGATTCATGGACCCAAGGGCCTTGTAAATTAATGACATGAACCTTGTGAGTGGCCTGGCAACGTATGGGCCGTTTTTGAGCAAAACTGCCCAGGATTTACACTGGGCAGCCTTGACATCTTCCTGCCACAGAAGGCAAGGGGAGGAAAGGGAGGTTTTGATGAAAATAAGAATAACAATAATGATTCGGGTTTCTTTTGTTTTAGTTTGTTTTGCTGTGGTTCAAAAGGTCCAGGTGAGCAAACTAGTACTACAGTGGTACCTCGGGTTAAGTACTTAATTCATTCCGGAGGTCCGTTCTTAACCTGAAACTGTTCTTAACCTGAGCTACCACTTTAGCTAATGGGGCCTGCTGCTGCGCCGCCGGAGCACGATTTCTGTTCTCATCCTGAAGCAAAGTTCTTAACCCGAGGTACTATTTCTGGGTTAGCGGAGCCTGTAACCTGAAGAGTCTGTAACCTGAAGTGTATGTAACCTGAGGTACCACTGTACTACTACTAATAATAATAATAGTAATAATGAGGAGAAGGCCAGGACATTCAGCAACCTTTGTGCTTTAAATGCATGGCAAGGGTCTTCAGAGATCCATCCCATAAAAGTAAGCCCACAAAGGCCCCCCCCCTCTATCTCTTACTTGAGCTGGCTGCGTAGAGTCTCTTCCCATTTCACTGTAAAGAGGAGACCCAGAAGGTGTCTCTGGGGCTTTTTCTGCCGCCTGGAAGGGAGACAAAGAAGGATGAAGGGGATAGGTTTTTTTTAATCCTGAGTGTCTGTTTCCCTTGGAAGTCCCTGGTGTGAAAAAACAGCTTTCCTCTGCAGCACCTACAGAGATTGGACAGAGCTCAGACGGAGAGAGGAACATCTTGCAATGCAACCAATGCATTTTGGGGCGGAAAGGGGGCTCTTTGCAACTGGATAATCCTATATTATTTATTTTGCAAGGCGGGGACGTAATTTCTCTTTCCCCCCCCTCCGCCCATGCTGCTTCCTCTGCAATCAGAGGGTCTCCCCATCTCTCATGGAAGATGAAGTTGCTGGATTGGTGGTGGTGGGAGAAGAGTGGGTCACAGAATCGTAGAGTTGGAAGGGGTCCGCATGGTCATCTAGCCCAACCCCCTTGCAATGCAGGAATCTGCAGCTGCCTCCAAAAGGGATCGAACTTGCGGTCTGCCAGCTCCATGCTGCCCCAACAACAACAGCTGAAGCATTGCAAAGGCATCCCATTTTTGCAGCTGGGTTGCAGAAGTCAGACCCCGCCACCCTCCCAATGTGTGTGTGTGTGTGTGTGTGTTTTTTCAATAGGAAGGAAATCGTATGCCCCCCCCAAAGGCCAATTCTTGCCCTCCCCATGCAGGATACCTGCCCGCACCATGTCTTCCTCCTGAGCCTCCCCCTCCTGGCCAAGGAATGGCACCAGGCCTCTTCCTTCCCTACCTGGAAGGACCAGGGAATGGGGGCCTCCCTCTTGTCTTCCCCCACCTCCACCTCACTTTCAGAACTTCCTGCCTCTCTAGGAAGCCCCTGGAGGACCAGGCTGCCTCTCTATCCCTCCCTCCCTCCCTCCCCTGCCTGCCAGCTGCTTTGCAATTATTGCACCTGAAGCATCATCTCTCTGCTGGGTCCTCCTCGGTTTTTCTCCCCTGAGAAAACGGTGAGAGAGGCCTCCTGGAAGCCCTTCTCCCCCCCCCCTTCCCTTACAACCAGAGAGATTTTTTTTATTTTATCTATTTGATTTTTCCAAATTAATATTTACATTCACATAATAGCATAATATATAAGAACAATATTCCAAAGAATCCCTTGAACTTACCTCCTTCCCTTCGTGGGTCTTTTTGTTAATCCTTTCCCTCTGCATCTTTTATATTAACCCACATTTTATACCTCCATTATGTCCATAGCTCATCGTTGCATTACAAACGTTATTCCAATCCCACAAAGAGAATTTCTTGTTTCTGCCTAATGGTCAAGGGTCCCTTTAGCTTTACAGTGGTGCCCCGCAAGACGAATGCCTCGCAAGACGGAAAACCCGCTAGACGAAAGGGTTTTCCGTTTTGGAGGTGCTTCGCAAAACAAATTTCCTATGGGCTTGCTTCGCAATACGAAAATGTCTTGCGAGTTCCTGTGGGGTTTTTTTCCTTTCCCCCCTTTTCCCCAAACCGCTTAACAGCTGATCCGCTAAGCCGCTAATAGCGCTAATCCGCTAAGCTGCTAATGGGCTTGCTTTGCAAGACGAAAAAAACGCAAGACGAAGAGACTCGCAGAACGGATTCTTTTCGTCTTGCGAGGCACCACTGTACTTTATAGTCTTATACATGGGAAAATATAGTATTTCAGGCACAAAAGTTGTTGAGTTCCCCCTCCCCAAGTTGCTTTTTTGTGTTTTGGAGCTATTTTAAAGAAATTTAACCAAAATCTACACTTCCGACATTGGTTGCTGGATTTCCCCGGACATTAAAGTGATTTCCGCCGGGACACTGTTTCCGACAGCCGGATCCTGGCAGCGTCCGGGAAATTCTGGACGTATGACAACCCTAAACCAAGTCCCCCTCTCTCTTATGCGGCCCAGAGGAAAGCAGAACAATATGTTTGGCACCAGCTTGGCTGCAGAAGTTTCTGGAAGGAGGTGCTCAAGACGCCATCCAACTGTCTTAGGGACTCTACTCCAAATTTGTGTAGGATTTACTCCATAGTTTTTCTTCTCCCAAAAATATCCCACAAGGCAGCGGAGTTTTAGGATCAGTGTTTTCCTTCTCCTAGATGGGCTCCCTTCCCAGGTGGAGGAGCCCCATTTGCCCCTCACTTCCCTATACAGTCATACCTCTTGTTACGTTTGCTTCAGGTTGCGCGTTTTCAGGTTGCGACCCGGAAGTACCGGAAAGGATTACTTCTGGTTTCGCCGCTCGCGCATGCGCAGACATCACGCGCACACGCAGAAGCGGCAAATCGCGACCTGCGCAGATATGGGTTGCGTTCTGCTCATGTTGCGAACGGGGCTCCGGAACGGATCCTGTTCGCAACCAGAGGTACCACTGTACAGCACACAGGGCCGTCTTAAGCATATGTGGCACCGGGGTGCAGAGATCCACCCCTCCAGGTTGACCAAAGTTGTTGACCTTTTTATAGGGCGGGCTGGCAAAGCGCGCACGGCACAGCTGGCCTGACCGGCTGCCTCAGCAGCAACAGAGGAGCTCAAGGCGGCAGCGGTGGCAGCAGAGCAAGGCCGGGCGCCTGGGGGTGGGCAAGCACAGCCCAGCACAACAGTAGTTGAGCCTGAGGCGGTGGTGGCGACTGAGTGAAGCCAGGCGCTTTGTGTGAGCAGCGTGCGCTGGGCAGGTTCTCTCAACAGTCCGCCAATCCCAGGAGCTCCGACGGGTTCTGCTCCGCTCAGCAGCGGCTGTCGGCTCTTCCCAATCCCCGGACTCCAAATCTCGGCCCCGGACTCTTGGCCTGGCACCCCTGAGAGCCTGGGTGCCCCACACCCCTAATGCCTATGGGTTAGACAGCCCCAACAGCACGTGCAGAAACCACCTTCTTGACCGTTGGAACCTCTCTTGGTCTCTTGGCAGGTTTTGAATAAACATTCACAAACTTTTTATTGGTAATACAGTGGGACCTCAAGTTACATACGCTTCAGGTTACAGACTCCGCTAACCCAGAAATAGTGCTTCAGGTTAAGAACTTTGCTTCAGAATGAGAACAGAAATCATGCTCTGGCGGCGCAGCAGCAGCAGGAGGCCCCATTAGCTAAAGTGGTGCCAGTGGCATAGCGTGGGGGGTGCAGGGGGGCCGGCCGCACCGGGCGCAACATCTGGGGGTTAGGGGGCGCAAATCCACGGGTTATGGGGCGCAAATTACTTGCTTTGCCCCGGGTGCTGACAACCCACGCTACGCCACTGAGTGGTGCTTCAGGTTAAGAACAGTTTCAGGTTAAGAACGGACCTCTGGAACGAGTTAAGTACTTAACCCGAGGTACCACTGTACAGTGGTGCCCCGCAAGACGAATGCCTCGCAAGACGGAAAACCCGCTAGACGAAAGAGTTTTCCGTTATGGAGGTGCTTCGCAAAACGAATTTCCTATGGGCTTGCTTCGCAAGACGACAATGCCTTGCGAGTTCCTGCTGGTTTTTTCCCCTCCCCCCCCTAATCCGCTAATCCGTCAATGGGCTTGCTTCGCAAGACGAAAAAACCGCTAGACGAAGAGAATCACAGAACAGATTCTTTTCGTCTTGCGAGGCACCACTGTATATAGATAGATAAATTAAGGATCTTTACAATTTTATAATATGCAGAGAATAACATGTGCTGAAAAACCAGAGAGAGGAGCTGAGGGATGTCGGGGGTGGGTGGGAGGGTGAGTTTTACTTTTTTGGGGAGAGGGGAGGAAAAAAATGGGGGGGGGAAATGAGGATGATGTGTTTTTGATAAATTGTTATGTTGAAATTCCTAATAAAAAATATATATTTTTTAAAAAGGAACCACTCTTGGTCTTATCCACTCAACCCGCCTGTCTTCGCATGCAGGGGGCGTCCCTAACTCACTGAGGGTTTGAGACCCATCAGCTGCCCTCGCCTGGTTTAGCCAGCCAGTCAAAGCCGTTTCCTGGGATTGTGGCCGCTGTTGCATGCAGACAGCTACTAGGAGCCACAGGTGAGATCTGAGTGCAGGTTGGGGACCAGAGGTGGACAAACCACCCCAGAAGGAGCATGGTGTGTGTCCCCCCCTAGGTACCACCTTTCCCCTAACATTCCTTTGTTAAATCATTTTTATTAATTTTCCAATAAAAAATATCCAATTAACATATCATATCATAATCCAATAAAAAAATAAAATAAAAAGGTCGAATTATTTTCCAAATTATAATTTTTAATTTTTTGGGCTTCCCATAGTCTGGACCTTGAAGCATAACTCCAAATCTCAATCCTGCCTCTCGTTGTCATTTCCATATTTCCCACATCTCGATTTTAACACTCTGACTTCTTGTCTCTGACTCTACGGTTCTCAGTTGTGTCAGAAATCATAGTATCCTTTCGTCCGCTGAATACAACTTTATTTGTGTAATATACTTTTCCGACTGTCTTTTTGCTAGCGCAGCTTCATCTGGCTCCATTCCAATCTGGGCTGTTATCCAACTCTCTGAATCCCCTAACATCCCATAATAAAAACATCACTGGATTATACACAATGAAACCTGATCCCACAATGCATTTGTTGCTCTTTCAGGTGCTGCGGGGTTTATTTCCCCCACTCATTGTTCCACTGTTATTTAAAAACATAAGGTAGGCAAGTTGCTACACACTCTTGCCGTTGTCCCGGTTCATCCCTCGAATACCCAAAGAAAGAAAGATGGATTAAATGGCAACATTGAAAGAAGAATGGGGGAAACAGCTGACAGTTATTAATGGAATTTTCAGAAACAACTGAACCAAGATTAACTCTTTTTAAAAGTCATTTTATTTTTGTGGGGGCAAAAATCCTTTCCTCTTCCATATGCCCCCTCCCCCACCTCAAATCTTTTCTGGGTTTCCCCCCCACAACCCTCCAGAGCTGATCTGGGGACAACTCCTGGAAATATTGAGCTGAATGTCACCCATAATATGTAAAACAGCAAGACAGGGAACTGTTACATCAACACCAAATTTCCAAGTTTTTGCAAAGGAAATAGAGAAGAATAGGCGGTAAGGAAAGAAAATGGAAGATAACCCCTTACATCAGGGGTGTCAAGCTCAAATTCATTGGGGGCAGTTTGGTCACCCTCAAAGGGCCGGTTGTATCTGTAGGACTATGTAAAGGACATGTAAAGTGGAGGTTTCCTGTGTAGAACGGCCGGCGCCGCTAGAGGGCAGACATTCTCTGGCTTGTAGGCTGCCGCGCATGCGCTGAAGAGGCGGCTTTCTTGTGTCAATAAAAAAAAAAAAAAGCGAGAATAAAAGGCGAAGGTTGGCGGCCGGCGGCGGCTACACGGGCCACCTGACGAGGTCTGGCGGGCCGGATTCGGCCCGTGGGCCTTGTGTTTGACACCCGTGCCTTACATGTTCTCCGTATAAAATTCCCACATTGACCCTTTTTAAACTTATTGACTTTAGTCCTCCTTGTATTAAATTGATGCCAGTTATCCTTCTCAGGATCCTTCACCGGGAAACTATTTCCCTTAGCTGCTACCAAAAATATGTACAGACATTCATACAATAGCCGTAAAGGTAAAGGGACCCCAGACCGTTAGGTCCAGTCGTTTTATTGGCTGAGGGAGCCAGCCACTTCTGGCGAACCAGAGCAGCGCACGGAAACGCCGTTTACCTTCCTGCAGGAGCGGTACCTATTTATCTACTTGCACTTTGACATGCTTCCAAACTGCTAGGTTGGCAGGAGCAGGGGATTCGAACCGTCGACCTTCTGATCGGCAAGTCCTAGGCTCTGTGGTTTAACCCACAGCGCCACCCGCGTCTCTACAATAG